TTTTTACTATATATATAATAAATTTTTGAATTTATTATTGGGGAAAGACGCATGGTGGTTCGGGGTGTTCCATGCGACCTTGGGGGATGCGGGGAGCCTAGTGCAACTTCGATGTGTACTGTAACATTCACCCTATTCGAACAAATAATTTATCGGTTGCACTATTCAAACAATTTTTTTCGACTACGTTATTGCAAAAAAATCACCCTTTCTTGTGACATTGATGTCGTCAAATAAATTTTCTATAATTGTAACTTCAAAAAACTTCTTTCAACAGATGCAACTGTCGTTGGTATAATTAAAAGGATTCGGCATAATTTGTCAAAGTTGTAGATTGTTACCCAAACGTTTCAATCGCTTACCGAAAATGATGCTCATATTTTAGAATAAGTAGTTTGAGATTTGACAGTAAAAAAAAACTTGAAATTCAATTTAAAAAATTACCATCGTTAAAATTTATTTTGTAACCCCTCATTTAAGAGCATAATAATATCAAATTGCTGTGTAGGATAAAATAATTTTTTTTTTATGAAGAAGGAGATTATTATCATATTTTTCGTTAAAAATTTTCCTAATCTAATTAGAGAAAAAATGTACACATGATGATAATAATAATAATAATAATAATATCAAATTTTAATTTTTTAAATATTTCATTTGTTTTTTATAATTAACAATATAAAAATGAATAAAAGAAAAGTTGGGTTTTGTGGGGAATCCTAAGTGCTGGTTTGGCATTAGCTTTGGGAGGATGCTTTTGTATAATATTGACCAAATGAGAAGTGGTCAAACTATGATTCTTGTTTTAATTATTATTTATTTATCTTGACAAATATATATGGTTAAATACGCTTTAAGTCCTTATACTTTTGTATTTTTGAAAATTAGTCCTCAACTTTTCATATTTTGAAATTCAAGTCTAAATGTTAATATCGCTAAAATTCTTTCGTTAAATTTATTGATATGGTATTTTAAAATAAAAAAATATTAAATTGAAAACTATTTTAATGAAAAACTTGTTTGGATAATGAGGTGGGAAAATGATTTTATCACCTATCGCACCCTCGAGAATTATTCTTTCAATAGGGTGTATTGAACAGTAATCTCAGAAGACGTTGGGAGCACAATGTGTCCTCAACAAGATGCAGATACCGCAATTCATCTTCAGCTTTTTTGGGAAGACGTATGGACGAGACAGAGAGACTCATGCAGAGTGTACAAAGGAGACACATTATGGTCCATGCATCTTTTCCATAAGAAGTTGAAGATATATTGTATTTTCAACGTCTTCTAGGTGATAACGTACCCATTATTCTAAATTTACAAAGAGTTAAAACATACTTTAATAAATACAAGTACGAAATAAATAAATGATATAACCAAATTAAATTTTCTCATTAAATGATGTAATCCGATTCATTTTTGTCATTAAATGATGCAATCCAATTCATTTTCGTCGTTAAATGGTGTAATCCAATTAGTAAATGCTCTTCCGTTACATACAAGGTCCAAGAAATTTAAAATAGAAAATGTAAGTTGATCTACTTTTAAACTTTTTAGAGTTTAAGGACTAAATCTCAAAATCTGCTAAAATATGGGTCTTATAAACATATTTTAACAAAAAAAGTTAGTACATTACGAACGTAAGGAAGAATAAGAACTACACAAAACTTCAACTATTCATAAACCAACTTACAACAACTTTTGTCACCACAATTGTAGCTTTAGCTTTGATACTGTATTAGGCAATTCTTTGGGTTTTGGGTAAAATACAAAAATCATCATTAAACCATGTTGAAATAATTTGTTTAACCATTAAAGTTTTGTAAGTTATAAAATGATCATTAAATTGCTCAAAATGTTATAAAATGACCATTAAACTCTATCAAACTATTATACAATAGTCATTTAATTCGTTAAACTAATATAAAATGATCTTTAAACTTACTGAAATTTATTATCACCTTATAATGTGCAGGGATTATTTTGTAACCAATGAAGGACGCAATATTTTATGTTAGAACTTACTTAAATTTATTTTCACCTCCATTGTCTTGAGTTTGTGCCCTAACCCCCTTACTCTACACGTGGCTTTGCTACAATTTCTTTATGGTGTTAACTGGGACATTTCGGTGACATATCATAAAGTTTGCACCTAATTAAAAGATTTTTCTAGTCAATAAGTCGGTCTAATAGAATGAGGCATTAGATTCTTTAAATAAGGTCAGAGATTTAAATTTTGACATTTGCAAATGGAGCAAACTGGATTGGAAATGTCACACTCACCTCTGCAGTATCCGATTCGAAATAATCGATTAATAGACCGGATACCGGTGGTTATAAAAAAATACTTTCCAAACCATGTTTTCATTAAATATATCAATGCATAAATCTTTCCTTTCCAAATACTGAATTTACACTTTAAATTATAAGGATCAAATTTGGTATAAACCCTTTTTTCAAAAGACCAAAGTAAACAAAAAGCAAGAAAATAAGAAGTCAATTTCACAATTTTTTCTTAAAAGTATATATGTGGACAGAAATCTAAATTTTATGTATAATTAAAAATCTAATTTTATCGTACAAATCAAGTGGTCTCTGTGGTAAATAAATTGTTGTTATTCATGAGGACCCGAATTCGAACACCATAGAAGACATGGGTGTGAGCGTTCAATGTCGAAAGATTGAGAATTATCTTTAAACATATATTATCTTATGCTTATCCCAGATTAATAAAAAAATATCAAATTTTACCTAATGAAAAAGAGATGGAAAGAATAAAGTCTAAACATTTTGTTTGTCAAAAAGATATAAAGAAAGTAGAAGACATTTTCAATTGGGAAATTTTCCGAGGGTCACTTTACTTTTGAGTGGGGAGAAATATTTGCTTATATATATTCTTGTTTAGGATTTCTAATTGACTATTCATAAGAATTTATTGATCCTTCATGTGTCAAATTTAACATAAAAAATTAACTATTTTCCCATAATTTCTAAAATATATTAATTAAATATTATTATTTGATATATCAAATATATTTTACATACCTTGTTTATTTTTATTTTAAATTCTGAAAACCGAAACCCTAAATATTAAAATATGAAATTATAACTATAAACCCTAAATAAGATGCACCGTATAAAATAAGTTTTACACAAATTTTTAAATAAATAAAATATTTTTGAGAGAGTTGAGGAATTTATAAAATTGAGACTGAATATAAAAAAAAACCAGATGAAGTACATTTTTAATCATAAAAAGAAGGAATAAAATAAATACAATAATTAATTAGAGATAAATTTTAAAATGAAAACTCAAAGAATACACGGCATTGACTATTCAAGTTTATTGTGGAAATTAGGAATATTTTTACACCATTTTTAGAGAGATTTGCTTGTCAAACTGGTATGAATCATTCTTTTAACGATATTGTCGATACCGTTTTTTGTCTAGACGGGAAAAAGACTGAAATCGACTCGGGAATTTTTTCTTTGAAAATGTTTTTCGAAATGTGAGGAATCGCTACCAATCAATTAAGGTGTGATTGGGATACATCGAAACTTGGCATTTTTATAAAATAAAATAAAATGTTTTATTAAAATCACCCGATTTTCATGGTGTTCCAATCACACCTTAAATGATTGGTGGCGACTCCTCACATTTTAAAAAACATTTTCAAAGAGAAACCTCTAAGTCGGTATCGGTATTTTCCCTGCCCGGACGAAAAACGATGTCGACATATATATTATTTAGACACCAAAAATCAGTTTGAGGTATAGTTTAGGCTCATAAAAGTATATTAAGCCTTAAAAATTGACGATCGTATAAATTGTACATGAACATGCTAACTGAAATATAATAATTGTTTGATATTTTCAACCATTTGACAATGAACGCTCACACCTCTCACATATGTAGTACTCGAATACAAGACTTCAAGGGATAACAACAAATCTTTTAACTACTTAAGTCGCTTTATTCGTGTAACATTTGTATAAATTTAAATTAACTCAAATTTTATAGGAAGTTAAAAAATAATTTTGTAGCCATTTATATTTCTCAAAAGTGGGGAATAGTTACTTAAAATCCATTTTCCACGAAAAAGTCCAAAAGATTGATATAGTTATATGATTGGTACTTAATTTCTAATCATTTAATGCATGTAATTCAAATTCAACAAATTTTATTCAAATGAAAAATGATGATCTTTTCTTTTCTTTTTATTAAATGAAATTCAAAATTTATTTTTAAGATCATAAAATATTTTTTAAAATTATAATTTTATGAATTCTTTAATTCATTTAAATTATTTTACGAATAACTTATATTTTGTTATGGTTAAATTTGTAAAATTTATAATTTATAGTTTTTGAGATCTAATAATTTTAATTATAAAAAATCAAAGTCAATTTTTTTGTTAAACAATGTGATTCAATTATTTAACTTTTGTTTAATAAGTTTATATATATATATATATATAATAAATTGTGAAATTCAATATAAAAATTCTAATTGTGTTTTAAATTTCTTACTTAAAAATATTAAAAGAAGTTAAAAGAAAATTCTAATCAATTGAGAGTTTAAAGAAGGTATTTTTATTAATTTAAAATCTCACATCATTCGTTAATGATAGTTAATAATAATTGCTTATTTTTTTTAACAAAATCTAAAATTTAATGTTTATTTTATAACTTTTTAAGCGTTGAATGACTAAAAAAATATTTTATCATAATTTAATGATCATTTGTAATTTTACTCTATTTTATCTTATTTTAGTTTAGTTAGTTGTATGTTTCTGTGTACGATATTTATAGTAGAAATTTTGTCAAAATTATGATGTAATAATTTAAAGGGTAAATTATGTGTTTGGTACTTGTATTATCAATTTCGATCTATTTTAGTATTTAAATTTTTAATTTTTTAAAATCATATCTAAATTTTAGTTTTTGTTTCATTTTAGTACCCCTGGTCAATATTTAACATTAAGTTTTGATTTTTTTTGAAAGTTTAAGCACTAAAACTAATCAAAATTGATAGTTTAGGTACTAAATGCATTAAATTTTTAACAATGGGTACTAAAATGAAACAAAAATAAATATAAAGTATGATTTTGAAAAAAAATAAAAGTTTATATGCTAAAATATATCAAAACTGATAGTTTATATACTAAGAGTAGTTTACCCTAATTTAAAAAATGAGAAAAGGCATTATTGTTGATTAAAAAATAAAGAGAAAATAAATGGAAAAGCAAAAAGGTGTTGGTTGAATAAAGGTGGAAGCTTGATCTGGTTAAGGTCCTATGAGAGGCACAGGAATAGTTAGAATGTTAGATCTTACACTGTTTGTCAAAGAAGCAGTTGTTTTGTATTTATTAATGTCCAGATTTTAACATGTAATAAAACTGGAACACGAAACAGTTTTCTAATGAATTCTTTCTTTTTACATTTTTCTAATATATTTTTAAAATTTATTGTCCCTGTTTGTCATCTTCTTTCATGGGGTGTTTTCTTTTTTCCTTTTTAATGTATCCCCTCAAAAAATTGGGGCAGATTTTGCCTAAAAAGCTTGTCTTTTAACTCCACAACTCTCTCTTTCTCTGTTCTTTTTTTCATGTGAATAATTCCTCATTTTCTCATCTTTAATCTTCCTCTCTCTCTCCAAAAATTAGTTTTATTTATCTATTTTGTAGAAAAAAAGCCCATTTCCCCCTTGTTTCTTGCACAGTTTACAAGGAGAAATCTCTGTTATAACAAGGAAAAGAGACTAAAAAAAGGATAATTTAAGCAAAATATAAGCTTTGGAGGATGAATGGTCTTTTACATTTTGAAGAACAAGATTGCTCTGAGTTTGTTGAAGTTGATCCAACCGGAAGATATGGCAGAGTATGAATACTAACTCTTCCTTCTTTATTTTTCTCCTTTTTTTTGATTCATTAACCTTTTTTTGTTGCAGTACAATGAAATCCTTGGGAAAGGTGCTTCAAAAACAGTGTATGAATCAAAACCCAACATTTTTTTCCATTTTTTTCAATACTCGATTCATATTTCTTCATTAAATTTGCTTTTATCCATATTTTTTCACAGAATTTGAGCTCCATTTGATATAAGGGGCTGATCTTTATTGCAGTTATAGAGCATTTGATGAGTATGAAGGGATTGAAGTTGCTTGGAACCAAGTCAAACTCTATGATTTTCTTCAAAGCTCTGAAGATCTTGAAAGGCTTTACTGTGAGATTCATCTTCTCAAGACATTGAAACACAAGAATATCATGAAGTTCTATACTTCCTGGGTTGATTCTGCCAATAGGAACATTAATTTTGTCACTGAAATGTTCACTTCTGGAACTTTAAGACAGTAAGTAAAACATAAAAACATGTTGAGATCTTTGTTCTTTTACGTTGAACTTTTTCTTCTTTTTGGTGTAGTTTAGGCGTTTGATCTTTTGTCTGTGTTGGGGTTCCCTTGTTTTTTGATCTATGATAGGTATAGGCTGAAGCATAAGAGAGTCAACATCAGAGCAGTGAAGCATTGGTGTAGGCAGATCTTGAGTGGCCTTCTTTATCTCCATAGCCATGATCCCCCTGTGATTCATAGAGATCTTAAATGTGATAATATGTTAATGGGCCCAAGGAGAAGTAAGATCGGTGATCTCGGCCTCGCTGCGATCCTCCGGAAATCTCACGTGGCTCACTGTGTCGGTATGTTTACTCGAACTGAACTTTGGTTGGCATCTTGTATGATAAATGTTGAACTATTTTTAGTAATGGAAGTGGGGTGATTCGATAAAATGAAAGCCACCGATTTTCGGGCGGGATTGTTTCTTTCTCCAGGAACACCGGAGTTTATGGCTCCCGAGGTCTACAAAGAAGCGTACAATGAATTAGTCGACATTTATTCATTCGGAATGTGCATTTTAGAAATGGTTACTTTTGAGTATCCTTATAGTGAATGTACTCATCCAGCACAAATCTACAAGAAAGTTGTATCTGTAAGGGCTTTTCACTTTGCTTGACTTGCTTTTTTGCTTTGTTTGATAGTTTCATCTGCTGAAACGACCAGTTTTCATTGATGTGCGTTGTTACTTAGGGTAGAAAACCGGATGCTTTGTATAAAGTTAAGGATCCCGAAGTTCGACAATTTGTCGAGAAATGTTTGGCAACCATGTCTTTGAGGCTTTCTGCGGGAGAATTGTTAAATGATCCTTTTCTCCAGATTGGTGATTGTGAGTCTGATTTAAGTCAACTAGATTATGCTTATGGAAGGGAATGTGATGATATGGGTCCCCTCATTAGGCTACCGTATCTCGAACTTCATCACAGTAGTAACTCTCATGGCGACGGATACTCGAACGGTTATGGTTACAAAACACCAAATGAATGGGGGTATCATCCTGCTGAAATTGAACTCAGTGGAATCGAGCTTTTCGAACATCAGGAAGATGAGCATGCTTCAAATGTAGACGTAAGCATCAAGGGGAGGATGCGAGATGATGGTGGTATCTTTTTGAGACTCCGGATTGTGGATCAAGAAGGTTAGAAACTTGTTAACATTTGTTCTCGACTTTTTCTTGGTGGAGATCTGACTCGAGTTCCTCTTTTTGTCTACTCCAGGTCGTATCAGAAATATATATTTCCCATTTGATGTTGAAACTGATACAGCACTGAGTGTTGCTACTGAAATGGTAGCAGAATTGGATATCACCGACCAAGATGTGATGAAAATAGCGGATATGATCGACGGAGAAATCGCCTCCTTAATACCCAAGTGGAGACAAGGGCCGGGAATTGAGGAAACACCCTGCTTTTCGAATCCAAACTTTTGTCACGATTGTGCTTCGTCTACCGGTTCCCTCTTAGATTTTTTGACGCATAATGGTGGTGCCAAGGACTCGCGTCTTCCTCAGTGTTGTAGAACTGGCTGTGCTTCAATGCACGGCCGATTCGAAGAGATTACATTTCAAGTCGAGGAATCCGAGCATTGCGTGACAGATGGTGCACCAAATGTGTCGAGTCAATCGGACAATTTGCATTACCTGGAAATTTGGGATCAGCAAGAAAGCCACGAACATAGCCCGGAGGGATCTAGACACAGACATTCAGATGAAGAGTTCCCAATTCCATGACGATAACAACAAGAGCTTCCCCGATTCACATAACCGAGGGTGCCGGTACTGCAACCCAATAGAATCTCCGAGAGTTAAGGACATGGTCACAGCTCAGAATTTCTTTACTGGATCACTGCTTCCTCACACTCTTCATAGGACAACTTCCCTTCCAGTTGATGCTGTTGACATATAAATGTAAGATTCTGCGTTCTTTTGAACATTCTCTCCATTTTGATCTGGCATTCTAATCAATCATTTATGTATTTTTCATTCGTCATAATCGAATTTAAGACATCTTTTCGAATCGAAAATCAAAATATTAAGATTTACATAGATTTTAATATATCCGTATCGTATCATATTTTAATAATATTTTTATATCGTATTCATATTCGTATATTTGTATCAAATTATTCGAACGCGGAATGAGAGTTTCAATGACTGAGGGTGTGTTCAAAGGGGAAGTAAATGAAATGAGACCCCAAAAGGGCATAGAGGCATGGGATAATGAGTTTGAGAATCATGTTCCATTCCCATGCATTGCATGTTAAAATGGCCCCCACAAGTGACCATCATGTTCCAATGAAAACCTCATTTTAGCCGACTTTGATGTTACCTTATCATTTCATTTCATTTCATTTAATTATATTTTATTTTATTTTATTTTATTTTATTTTATAATTTCATATACAATATAATTATATAATAATAATCAAATATTACAGATGTATTAAAACATATTATATTATGAAAAAATAAAGTATGTCATGTATTATATAAAATGTAGATACTGATAATAAAAATAAATGACAATTTTGAAATATTAATATAAGAAATATTTTCACATCATATTTTATTTATTTTTAATTTCATCACTGATGATGATTCTGAATATAGAAATTAATAAATTCGAATAGATATATAAATAATCAACAAATTACACCTTATGGATTGTACAAATTACGGTATAATTGGGGATGGTAATTTAACTCTAATCTGACAGATTTTTGAACCTAATTGAATAGGGTTGGTTTTTTTTAAAAAAAAAGTAGTTTAGGTTTGTCGGGTTATATTTTTTTTAAGGGGGAGAGATCGAGTCGAGTCAGGTTCTAGTGGAGGTTATAAAAATTTCGACACGACCCGAAGATGATAATGTAATTTTCTTTTAAAAATATTATTATTTTATAATTAAGTCATTATTTTATACCGAATCAGATCAAATTGAGTTAAAAATAGAGTGGAGAGTACATTTTTTCAGATCAAATAGATGATATAAAATTTTTAAATCAGATTCTAATAAAAAATACATATTTTCGGGTCGGTCGACAAAATTCAACCCTAAATCGAGCCGTTGCCATCACAAGTATTGGGATTTGAGCACTGAAGTTACAAGCTGGGTTGGTCAAAGTTTTCAAAGCAGTGTTGTGATTAAGAAATGGAATGGTGGTTTGTTTCTTTCACGCCTCTAATCCAATTGGGAACTCATCACTTTTCAAAAATGAAAAAGGAAAGGAATATTATATATATATATATAAGAAAATTGAATTAATGCACAATTTAATATCAGAAAAAGTCTTCCACGTGGCTAAAACTAAAATGAATCATACTAGTTATTAAATTAGATATTTAAATTCAGATGTAAAATATATTTAAAATATATTACCAACAACAGGTTAGTCTAGTGAGACGAGGTATTAAATCTCTTAAGCAAGGTTAGAGTTCGACTTCTGACGATTGCGAATGAAACAAATTAGGCTGAAACGATCGCCCTTGCCTCTACGATACCCGATCCGGATTAGTCGATCAATAGATCAAATATCGATTATTATATTAAATATATTGATAAATTTAAAAAAAAATGACCCTAAGTTTTATTGATATTTTCTGACCTAACGGGTTCAAATTGTCCATGACATAGATACACATCATAATTTAGGCATTGGCATATGCTTGTTGTCCTTAGGTGGATAACTAACAATTCAAATTTCTTTATTTGAAATTTTTTATTCATTTTATTAATTGTATCAATCTCGAAATTTTATTTATATTCACTCGTATATAAAAAATTATATTATTAATACGGGTGTCTAAAAAAATTATAAATTTATCACCGAATTCAGAGAATATGATGGTTCAAAAGTGAAACATGAAACCCGAAATTAAAAAAAAAATCAATCTACCATAAAAGGATTCAACTTTGAGATAAAGATCCACAAACAATCCAATTATGTCCCCAAAAGATTACTATGTATAAAGTGGTCAATACCAACTAATTGTGAAATGATGTCCACATTCCTTGCAAATGAATAAGCAAAAGAATAGAATAGTTAGTTAAGGCACATTAAAGGCCATTTATTCATCATAACAACATTATTTCACAATCATTTTTTATATAATCATCAATATTTGTTCTATTGATCGTATAATCTAAATTTGATACTACAGAGATAAAGATAACCTTCCAAACCTAGTTTACACCTTTCACAATCGTCAGGATTTAAATCTTTAACTTTACTTAAGAGATATAGTGCCTCGTCCCGATTATTGGTACATTATTTCATAATTATTAACCTATGCAGTCTAGTGATTATTACCATTTTTCTTTTTGTCTCTTAAGTCCTACATTATAAATAAAGATCAATATTGAACTCAATATTTCATATTTAAATATTTTAGTCCAACGCTTGTTAGAGCGGGCCTAGACGCCTTTTTAAGTAGGGTGTAAACGAGTCGAGTCGAGCTCGAGTATGCTGAGCTCGACTCGACTCGAAAACTCTGAAATAGAGCTCGACTCGACTCGAAATCCTGGACTGAAGCTCGAAAAGGCTCAAAATAAAAAAAAATTCTTAAACTTAACTCGATTGAAGCCTCAAATTCGAACTCGAACCTGAACCTTAAATACATAAAATCTTATTGTATTTTCTTTAAAAAAATCAATACATAAATATTAATATTATTAATAATTTATTTAAAAAAAATAAAATCTTAATATATTATATTTTCGAGCTGCTCACGAGCTTTTCGAGTTGAATATCAAGTAATTCGTTTCGGCTCGTTAAGAACTCGAGACGAGCTTGAATTCGAGTCGAGTCCATTCGATCCGAGTATTTATCGAGTCTTGATCGATTCGATCTCAAGTAGCTCGCGATCTGTCTCGTCTCATTTACAGCCCTATTTTCAAGAGTCGGAGCAACATAGAAAAAAAAACCCTGCGCCATGAGGTGAACAAGTCTTGGAGTTGGATCAAGAAAAAAACTGATCTTTTAAGCAAATATATACCCTCTCAATATGTATGCAATCCAGTTCACCACACGACATCGATCTTTAGATCATCAGAACCTCAGTGTTATTATATACAAATGAACACAGAGATTTAAGAAGCAGCTCCAATTCATACCTGAAGATACAAGGTATCTAGTTATTAAATCTTATAGAGGCCTCAATAGTGGGTAGTCTTCGAGTAGTTCTCGCTCCGATAATGTGTCATCTTCATTTTGAGGTGTCCACAAGACCTCAACTGCCTGAATGGGAATCAAGGAAATATCAAGAATGAGCAATCTCGAGTACTCGTAATTCAGGGGAATAAGACGGATTCTTACCATTATTTTACTTGAAGGGATGGAGGCAAGCTTTTGCAAGGCTTCCTTTAAGTCGCCACTTCCATTAATGGCAGGAAATTTATGCACTCCCTCAGCAGCCACCAATATTGTTATCTGAAATTTCAGAAATCGGTTATAAACAAATGATGTTATTACGGATATTATTAACTCGAAACTGGACTTGCGGTCCTTATTCCCTCTGAAACTTAAAATGGCAACTCCATCATAACCAAGTGTGTGGATTCATCTATCGGTTACACGATACAACTCATTGAATTTATGAATGATATGAGAAATACACATTGTTTTTCCAGAATGATGTCTTAAATACATTCAATCCTATACATTTGCAGTAACTATAACTTAGAAAGTATGGTCTTACCACTATGTACTCATTGCTAAATCCACTAGCTTTCAGACTACTTGTACTTTGTCTTTTAATATTGTTCACATTCACTAGAGTCTCTTCATCGAATTTACCCCGTTCTTCGATAGAGAGTTGATTGAAGCGTTTCTCCCCATCGTCTATGCTCCGTTTCACGTCAACCTGAAGATATATAGTATGTCAAAATTTCAACAATTTTATACTTACAATACAAAAAGAGCATATCCGCATATGCAATTCGTTCACCAACGAGCACAAACAAAATATTACAGAAGGTTAACTTACAGATGAATAACCCGAGATGCAATAATCAGGATGGCGAAGCAAAGCTAATGTTGTCTCTGCAAACATAAAAACGAGAGACATTGAACTTGACATGTTCAACGGAAAAAGCAGACATACACCACTTTATACGTGTTACAAGTATTGCTCTAGTAAAACAGAGAGAAGAAAGATTGCAGCTATATGGCCATTCAATGGAAATATCATTTAACCATCAGCAAAATAAGAGTAAGCAATGCAATGGATGCTATCTATGTGCATTTCAATCAAACTAAGCCGCTAAATGGGTAAAAAGCTTAGGCTCCTTGTTGTAATAATTGTATGTCATCAATTTTATTAGCTACCATACAGTTGTTATTCTCAAAAGCAGATTTCAGAATAGCAAGTAGCATAATTAGGCTATGAGCTGTAAGATTCAAAACCTTTAAATATAGACAGATCTTAGAAAGCTTTACCTGTCAATACAAAGCTTAGACCCTCAGACGTAGAGGTGTCGGCCACTTTGGCGATCCGATTAAGATCCTTTTGAAGAGTCCGTCCCATACCCAGCAACCCAACCTAATAATACAAACAATAGTGAGACTATATATGAACAAATGGTGATCGAATTCCTTGTCTAGCTCATTTTGCATAACAATTCTTCCTACAAAACAAAGTCTCAATACTTGATTAAAAAAGGAATTCATATAAACACTATGTGACTATAAAGATTATACTAAAATTCACATTTAAGCAACCCTCCTCTATATAAT